CCAGTCTATTTCCAGGAGCAGCCAAAGGAAAGTCTAGCAACAAGGCGAGCTCAGAGTGGTGTTTCAGCAGTAGAGATTTGCAGCGATCAGCAGCATGGCTGGGTTCTGACAAAGGGTATTTCCTAATAGTGGTGGACCTAAAGTAGGTTAAAAAGTAGGTTGATTTGGATCGACCGTGTTTATAGGTCGGATATCCTCCCTTCTCACCTCTGGCTCGAGGATCCAGGTGCACGACCGTGCAGCGCTAGAAAAATCAGCCCTAATTAGCAGAAGCAGCATTTGGTGAAGAGGGAAAACAGACTGTTTGRTTTCTGGGAGGGAATATGAATCCAGCTGGTGCCGGGACACGAATGCAGAGGGACACGTCGTCAGCGTCGTGCCATACAAATCCTCTGTGAGTGTCCGAAGCAACTGTGCCCTTCCCAAGGAACCAAAGGTTTGTGCATCCTCAGGAAGGAGAAGCAGGCGTCTGAACTGTGAACTGTTCCGACTCCTCCTTCCTCAAACGCTGTGTTTGCAAATAAACAGTGCCTGTTCTTTAAGGGTCATTCCCACGGTTCTGTTCCTCCAAGGGTGCTGGCTCTAAGCTGGATTGGTTGATAAAACTTCAGAAAGCAGATTTGTGAGCAGAGGTAAATTAGCCCCTTGCCTGCAAGCAGGGACACGTGGGAAGAGTCCGGAAGGGTGAGATAAGCCCTGGGCACGCTGAAGTGCCCCTCTCAGTAGCATCAGCATCTGTTGCTGAAACATCTGGGTCTTTTGTGTCAGAGACACAGCACAAATTGGCAGCACAGAGACAGGGCTGTGGTCGCCTTCAGGACACTGAGGGGACAAATGCCCATCCAGACCCTAGGGGAGTGCCAGCACCTAGACAGACCTTTACCACTGCCCCACATGTAAGATATGTTACCTGTTTTTCTGTTTTGGCTATTGTGGACCTGTAATCCAGTGTTTCATTGGGCTGTCCTGGTTTTGTTCTGCTTACTTATGTGCCAAGCTGGATATTACCRGGTTAGTCTGGTAATCCTAACCCTTCAGAATTCCTTGGTGACTTTCTTATATTAAAAAAGCATCCTCGCTTCTCCTGGGATAACAACTGGGTTATTCATTACTAATGTTAACACAGACTGAGTCTTCAGAAAATCCTTAGGAGTCTGTGAGAGTGGCGAGCGGGAGCTGGGATGCAG